ATATAATACAATAAGAAAGCGAAAGACCGAATAGAGAAGCATTTTCTGTGGTTCATAACTTAAATTTACCTGGAGATTGTTGAAGCAGATAAACTGATTCACTGGCTTCATGTTTCTTCTTGCTACATTGCTTGTTTAATTTATTTCCCCTGCCTTCAAGCTCTGGGTGGATCTTCTTCTTCAACATTCTCCTCATCATCTAATAACAGATGAAAACTAATTGTTTAATCAATTGAATTATGCTCGCAAATAAACAGATACGACAGTTGGTCAGTTTCATAACCACGTTTTTTATAGCATTCATGTATAATTATTGAACTGAAGCCTTAGTCAAAATGAAATTAATATATAAATGGATGTGTGATTATTATGGAAAATATGCAGAACTTCATAGTTTATATAGTACTCACAGTCACTTGGTTTAGCATTTTGATGGGACGTGAATTCTCTCCAACTTGAGGAATGAGTTTCTTTGCGAAAGAAAGGCCCTGTTTTGTACGAACTGATCCCTTTCTGCTACAATCCGAGTCCAGTTCAAGAGAGCTCGGCTTCTTTTTCATGCTGGAATCAGAATCCTCGGAGAATAGGTCGGCCAGTGTCGTTCTTCTCCTCACCTTCCGAGAATGTTCCTCAATGACATCCAATTTTGTACTGATTTCATCATTTGTAGACCCCTCAGCAGCCCGGTTAACCGTCATCGTCATGTCCTCGAAACCGTGGTCGAAAGTGCTTAACATCAGTGGATTCTCTTCTTCATTACTATCACTGTAATCGTCGTTATCGGAGTATTGTTCTTCCTCCCCTCGTTCATCATCGTTTTCCGAGGTTAAGTAGTCTTTCTGTTCACCCCAGGATGATTTCAGAGGATCGAAACCAAAGGTGCCGATTGTTAGAATGCCATCCAGCAAGTCAACCAGGGGTCCCTGCTCGAGAAAAGCTTTTGTATCATTGTCGATCACAATGCCATCAGTCTTCTTAACACTTGGAGACGACCCATCTGCGCAAATCATGAAAGTTTCCTCATGATCAAACACTGTTCTACAGAGAATGTACAATGATACGTATATATAATGCAAGAAATTGAACCTTTGAGGATGGTATGATTGAACCTCCTCTGCACCCAGTTGAATATCTATTGAATAAAAATAAGATCAAACACGAAAATGCAGATGAAATCATTAGAAACTAAATGGAAGTTATTGTTTAACAAATTTATGGGTATTGTAATTTACCTTCATTCTCTTTTCCAGTCAAGCTTTAGTTTGGCGAGGAAAATCAATGAGATGAGCAAAGTGTAGTGAGTGGGGAACTGAGTGGGAATGTTTAAAGGAGTTTAGCTGTGACACGTGGCAAAAGAATTGCAGCCTAGGAAACTAGTTTGGAATTCATCTCTTGGAACTGTCATTTGACCTTATGCTACTTGTCAACTTATTTTAGAACCCTAACAGCCTTTTACACTAATCTAAATGTGGTGACCCTGGACCGTAAGCCATATGGATCTTCTTGTTGTTGCTGCCTGCTTGAAGCAGATAAAGGTTCAATCGTTGATACTCAAAGGTGAGCCTTGGTAATATTTACCAATCAAGCTGAAAGTATAATCCAACAAGTGAACTTTACTTCATCGGTTGTGTTATAAATATTCAATTCAGACTACGATTTGCAGTAATCAATACCTTATTATCTTGCCAGCCTACCTCTCATTTTATCTCCTCACGTCAACCGAAAACCAGCCAGCGCCTACGCCGCATCTCTTCTAGACATATATAGCTCAATGCAACAGTTCACTCGACTCGGTCTAACAAGACGTGCAAAAGTTCTCGAGACTACTCCGAAACAATCAAATTCAAGCTTTGTTAAATGACCCTTTTCTGGGTAATAAAGAGAAGGGAAAAGCGGTGAAGGAACTGGAGTGGCAAGAAGAGGGAAGCTAAGCTTGTTGAAGATGCTGGTCGAGAAGAGCAAGTTGGAGCTAGCTGGTGAGTCAAGTGTCGGATGAGTTCGAGAGGATTTACGGCAAGTTGATCGACACTAAACTGGTTTGGGTTTCGTCGGAGAAGAAGAAAGGGAAAGACGGATTATTTAAAATTACTACCAAAAACATCAAACATTAATTAACATGCATTAGCATTGTAGATGTAATGTTACATTTATAGACAGAATGTATAAGGATTAGTAATATCAATCCACTATTATGAATTATTAGGTTTGTTATTTAAAGTTAGAAAATCAAATTTTAATATTATAAATGAATAAATTAAATTAAATATAATAAAGTATATGTAATATTCGATCCAATAGTTATATTAATAAACTTAATCTAATAATAATAATTGCATCAAATAAATTTAGGTTGAGATGATTAGCCTAGTTTCTGAAAGATGTCATGAACCGGTTGAAAAAATCCATTGCTAACACTCTCAAAAATGGCATGGAGCAACACCAAACTCAGCTTCTCATCATCCAACTCATCCAAGCACCGAACATCCCTTATGCCCACAAGCTCTTCAATCTCATTCCAAACAAAACTGTCTTTCTCTACAACAAACTCATCCAAGCCTACTCCTCCGTTAACCAATCCCACCAATGCCTCACTCTCTACTCCCAAATGTGCCTCAACAACTGTTCCCCGAACGAGCATTCTTTCATCTTCCTTTTCCCTGCCTGCGCTGCACTTTCCTTTCGTACCCATGGCCAAATCCTTCATACCCATCTTATCAAATCCGGGTTTGGTGTCGATTGCTATGCGTTGGCCGCTTTGCTCGACATGTATTCGAAACTTCGTATGTTACCGTTGGCTCGGAAAGTGTTCGACGAAATGCGTGTCAGAAATGTGCCCACTTGGAACGCTTTGATTTCTGGGTGTTCGAGGTGTGGGGATATGAATGAAGCCTTGGAGTTATTTAAATCGATGTCGGAGAAGAATGTGGTTTCGTGGACCTCCATGATATCTGGTTACTCGCAGAACGGGCAATTTTCAAGAGCCTTGGATATGTTTTTATAGATGGAGAATGGGAGTGGTGTTAAGCCGAATCGAGTTACCATTGCAAGTGTGCTTCCAACTTGTGCAAGTCTTGGAGCGTTAGAGGTTGGGGAAAGGATTGAAGCTTATGCAAGAAAGAATGGATTGTTTGAGGATTTGTATGTTAGCAATACTATACTCGAAATGCATGCGAGGTGCGGTAAAATAGAAGTGGCGAAAAGGGTGTTTGATGAAATCGGCAAGAGGAGAAATTTGTGCTCTTGGAATTCAATGATCGTGGCTTTTGCTCTTCATGGAAAATCGATTGAAGCTCTCGAGTATTACGATCAATTGCTGGTTAGCATTTCCTTATACAGTTATAATATTTTTTTTGCTTTCCTATTTAGTTCATTCTTTTATGTTCATGTCATTGATTGTAACAGCATGAAGGAACTGCACCAGATGATGTTACATTTGTTGGAGTTCTCTTAGCATGCACTCATGGAGGATTGGTGATGGAAGGACAAGAACTTTTCGAATCAATGGCGAGGAACTATAGTATCAATCCTAAATTGGAGCATTATGGATGCATGGTTGATCTCCTAGGTCGGGCCGGAGCATTGAAGGAAGGTTATGATCTTATAAAAACCATGCCTATGAAGCCTGATGCGGTGGTTTGGGGAGCTCTATTAGGAGCTTGCAGCTTCCATAACAATGTCGAACTAGCAGAAAAAGCAGCTCAGCCTCTGTTTGAGCTCGAGCCATGGAATGCTGGAAATATATGAAATGCATAAGTTTCTTGTGGAGGATAAATCTCATCCTAGATGTGATGAAATATATGAAATCTTACAAATAGTATCAACGGTGATGAAGCTACAGGAGAAATTAATTAACTTTGAATCTGAACTTTTATTGATAATGGAGCAGGATAACTAAGTATTTATGACAAGGGTAAAATTAATCTGATGACATTCAAAATTAATTCTGTATTAAACGAATCATTTAAAAAATATAATTTAGTCACTCGATAAGAGGTTGTTGCACATAGGTCACCATGTTATTAAAATTGAAACAAATGCCCAACGTTGCTTGGTATGATAACAATTTTAGACCTTAATTCTTATACCGAGGCACTTTGAGCCATATGGGAAGGTTCTTCATGTTCGCATTAGGCGGAACTTTGGATTTGTGCTGTTTGCTACACAAGAGGAGCTACTGAATCCCTTGAAGCTACGCAGAGGAGGTAGAAATAAACTTTATATATATATATATATATATATATATATATATATATATATATAGATTATAAATTCATTTTGGGATCAGCGGACTTGCTCTTAAAGTACTCTGTATGTCTTCACAGCAAGTTATTGGACAGAGTTGTGTCTGTTGAATATGCTTTAAGGGACGATGATGAGAGGGATGGCAGATATGATAGCCTTAGAAGAGGTGGTGGCTATGGTCCATGTAGGAGGTCCTCAAGTCCTGATTATGGTAGGGCTTGTAGTCCTGTTTACGATCGTTATAATGGTTCTTCTTATGACAGGGAGACGAGTCCCAACTATGGGAAGCAAAGGAGTCGTGACTATGGCAGGTACTACTGAATGCCATTTATTTTGTGTTTCTTGTTCTGCATCTTCTTCTATGTCTTCTAAGCCTTCATATCATGTTTGAAATTATTTATTTATTTTTCAACATGTAATATGATCCTCTTTGTTCGTTGAATTTGCAGCCTTACACCTGTTCGAAGGTCTTGGACATAGAAGGGCATCGGATTAATGGTGAAAATTTTGTTCAGCACATGGGTCATGTTCTCAAGTATTTTGGGGCTCTATGCCTAGCTGTCAATATGTCCTTTTGTAGAGAATGAATTGGCATTCTCTTTTCTTTCTCATCATATGTTAAATAGGACCATTTAGCTTTAGATCAAACCGCAACTAATAGTAACACTCGATTGTAAATTTCAGTCCTAGTTGAGATTCATGTTCTGATAGTTTTAGTATATACTTGATAACCTATTATTCGTGTTAATATATGGTGGTTTGGATAAAATAATATTTGTTTGATTCTTTATCTTCTGTAGCAGTTTAGCTAATCAGTAGGATGACTTTGTACTTGAAAATACTTGTGAAAAACATGTAATGTAAACATGGAAATATTTGTCTGCAGGCCTTGGGTCTCTGTTGCAACCATTAATCGTTTCATAATCATTAGTACAATAAGATGAATATAACATCTTAGTGCTCCAATTTCACACCTTAAAAAACAAAAGAAGATAAAAAAGATCAAGCTGAGGATTTCTTTAGCTCTTGAACGATAGCTTTCTCGAGCCACGACTCAGCGTCGTTCATCATTCCAGGGCTAAGTCTCACCATCAGGATGCAGAATTCGGTCTGGTTCAGTGCCCCATCTCCATCAAGATCACCTTCTCTGATCATATCTTGTGCTTCATCTTTGCTCATCCCTTCCATGCCTAAAAGTGCAGCGTTCATCCTTAGACTCTCAGGCGTTATCAACCCTGTGTTCTGATCAGCTAGAAGATGAAACCCTCCACATAATTCGGACACAAAAGCTTCCAAGTCCAGCTTCTCAGCCATTAGCGGTAACAAATCCTCATACTCGTATGTCGTCGTCATAACTCCTCCCTTAATTCCCTCGTTTTCCATTACGACGGGAGGCCGAAACAAGCTAAGGGAAAAAAACAATACAGAGGGACAAAGATAGGTCGGGGTGAGCAGTGTGGACTTTACACCAAATTGGATGGGGTTAAATAAAGAACTAGCGTAATCTTTATGAGCATCGCAGAGTTTCTTAGCTTTCTCACACAAAGCATTTGATGGGATGATGTGACATTGGAGATCATATTGTTCCAAAGCCAATGCAATAATCAAGCGTCTAGGATCGATTTCGTCACCCTTCTCATAAAATAATGGACGCTTCGATTGTATAGGATGGGAATATTCTTTGTATTTAACACTCATTGATATAATATTATTATCTCCATCAAAATTCAAGAGAGAGTTTCTCGGAAGGTTCCTATGTGGGGGACGGCATCTGGTGTATACAAGTTAATCCTTTTCACATAATGGATTTGCTTAAATTGTCCAGTGTTGCCTTCCTATGAAATTTCCTAGTCCTACCCCCCTCTCCTCAATTAAGATGATTTGATGGATTATATATATGGATTTAGACTACATTTACTTTAATTATTTCATATTTTACAGTAGTAATGTTTGATATGATTATAATTTCTCCTGCAGTTATTAATTTGAAATTTGAAATTATTTTATAATTTTCTATTTGTGTATTTTAATGGTGTTTAATTCGTTAATTATTGAAATAATTCACTTAGAGTACGTGTGTTTTACTGTAATTGAATTTTCAGAAAACGTTTTTCTTTGTTTTTCAGAGTTTGTTTGGCAGAAAATAAATTGATCAATGTAATTCATTTTCGTAGTTAATAGAATTTTCTTTATATTTATTGAGAAATGATTTACAATTTTATTTTTCATAAATTATATAAGAATTTTAGTATTAAAGAATTATTGGATGATATTGAACTCTCATGAAACAAATCCTTTATAGAGTTTTTTTTTTGGAATAGTATGTGGTTATTACAAGGTATTATCTATTCATAATAACGCTCACATACTTACAAGCTTACTTGAACTTAAAACCTTAGGAGAGAACAATACTCTTTCACATAGGATATTTTAGCACCTAGTGATGCACATGGTATTACACAAATCTCACCGAGCCTACACCCGTATGAGGATTGTGGGATATGGCCGCACTACACAAAAAGGGGAATGTTAGAAGTCAAGTCTAACGATCAACTTGTTCTCCAATCTCTAAAGTTTTTATGTCAATTTTGCTTGGAACAAGTTGTGGTCTCGTGTTACCTCCAAAGGTAAAATACATTTTTTTTCTGGCAATGTATTTGTAATTTTGTTCCGGTTCATTGCCGCCTTGTCGAAAAGGGTGTAATTTGAATGTGGTGTGTTGTAGATGTGAAGCTGATGAGAACATAGGTCACGTTCTTCTACACTGTGAAGTTGCAGTTTCCGTTTGACATCACTTTGGACTTGTTTTAGCACAAGATTCAGTTGCAGGTTTTATTCTGGCTATCCAGGATATGGGCAACTTTGATACTCCTGATAAGGTTATGGTCGTATCTTGGAGCTAGTGGTGTCACCGAAATTTCTGTATTTGGATGAATATTAATTCAACTGCAGCTAGAATCACTGAATTTGGGAGGAAAAATTGCAGAAAGATCAGTGTGTATCTTCTTTTCAAAGATCTCTAAAAATATATAAAGACAATATTTTTCATCATATCAGCAACGTGTCGAGGTGTAGTTGGTTATCACGTCAGGTCTCCGGTTTGAGTCTGGGCGACGCCAGTTGCAGTTACTTATTTTGTGTGTGTGTTATTGATCACCTTAGTGCATCTGACTCGGCGCTTGTAGGTCGAAGACGCTTATGTTCTATTCCAGCAACCACTGTGTCCGATATTGCTGCCTCTGCTGTTGTTGTTTCTTGCAAAATTGATTTTGGTGTCTCGATTGAAGAAGACTCTCTCAACCATTTAAGGTGGAATCCTCTTACCAAGAATGGGACATTTTGTGGGAGAAAGTCATGCATATGGAGGTCAAGTGGCAGCAGGAAAAGTGTTTGTGGAATGCAAAGTATATTTCCCATTCTTTCGTACTTTGATATGCTTATTTTGGCGATGTGGTTGATGGAAGAAACTCACCGCGAGTGAGTTTGGAGGAGTTGCATAGATCTATTGACTTGTCAACCGGTAATCATGAAGCAGATCTTGCAGCTGGAATTGCATTAACTACGGCATGCTTGGGGCAGCGGCTTGGGAACTTGTACTGCAATGTCGATAAACTAGGGAATTCCCCAAGCTGCATAAAGAGTGTTATTTACATTTTTTTAAAGAAAAAAATTAAAATATAATTAAAGGCGTTTATTGATATGCCTGTTCTCTCCATCTTCGGTTGCTCTCCTGGCATGGCTTGGACCATCGTTAATCTCGCCCAATTCCACGCACGTTTCATTTCTTCGCTTTTTCAACTATCTCATAGTATTGGATGTTCAATTGGGTTTCTTGCTATGCCTGCAAAATTCCCTCTTTTGTTTTTGAATTTTAGGCTTGTTGAAATTTGATTAGTATGGTGTTCAATTGCGCTTATTGATGGGGAACAAGGAAATCAGGGGATTTTCTATTGAACAATGTCATTACGCTCTGAAAATCTGCTTTGAGTTGAGCTATAGGCTGTCATATAGTTGTAGTCTCAACTCCCATACAACAGAAACTAAGCTTTTTGCTTTCGAAATTTTTGTCCATAATGATCGGATTGTCTATTTTCAGGTCGCATACCACTTCTTTCACTGGAAGAAAGGAACCCCATTTGCTGATGATCAAGGATTTTACAATAGCTTGACTTGGTGGGGCAGGTAGACAACGGAAAGCAGCTAACACGGAACAGAAAGTTTTTAACCGTTGTCCCTGTTGTGCTGTATGCCCTATATTATGTTTTACAGTTTTTCTGAGTCTTGCTGCTGATGTTCTGTATCTCTGTATTTATGTCTGTCTGTATGTATTCATTCTCGAGCATTGGATGTTGATTATTGGGCCTTTTTTTGTGTTTCCATAATCGGGTTAACGAACTATACGTATGGCTAGGGAAACAATGCGTTAAGTTTTACAGTTTTTCTGTATCTTGCTGATATGCATGTGTTTGTTCTCGAGCATTGGATGTTGATTATTGGGCCTTTTACTGCGTTTCCTTAATTGGGGTAACGAACTATATGGATGGCTAGGGAAACAATGAGTTATATTTTACAGTTTTTCTGTATCTTGCTGATCATGTTCTGTATATATGTATGCATGTGTTTGTTCTCGAGCATTGGATGTTGATTATTGAGCCTTCTATTATGTTTCCCTAATCGGGGTAACGAACTATACGGATGGCTAGGGAAACAATGAGTAAATAAGCATGGATACCCCACCGATAATGTAGCGCATACTCATGTCATAGTATCACAACTGGGTTCTATAAATGACGATGGCGTTTCTCATGTAATTTTTGCTTAGTCTTCTCACATTCATCAAATCTTTATTCCTGTTGCCTTGCTTTTAACGAAGAGCAAGTATGTATATGTGCAAACGGTTATCTATGTTCTCTTTTGCATTCTACTAATTGTTATTGATTGGACTTGTATACAACATTTTGCGTACTTAATTTTAGCATTCCTTGACTCGCCACTCACATGGTTATGTTAATAAAAATATCAATTTGATGCATTGATCTCTTAACACTATTAGATCAGTACCAACGTTTTGCATGTTCATTTGGAGAAATATTAAACTCTGTGCAGATTTTCGTTGTCTTGTCTGGAGATGTCCGATTAACAACCAAAGAGAATAGTTCGATAGATAATAGCAATTAGCAACCACTATTCATCCTAATTCTCTTGCTGCTTTTGTTATCCTGGAGATGTCCCTCTTACATTCCGTCACTGCCTCCATGTCATGAGTTCATGCACAATTCGTGATTTTTCATTTGCTGCGTCGGGCATTTGATCACCGTGTTTCTTCTTTTCCTTTTTCGTTTCTATGACAAATACCTGATAGCCTCGCATACAACAGACTATCAACATCCTATCCTCTTCCTGAACACGCTAGCAGTGATTGTGCTCGTCCTTGCCAAGTTCCCCAACATGCACAAGGTCCGGATATTCGGAATCAATGCAGATAGGTGAGTCAGCCTCCCCTGTCCTAGAGCACGTGGTCTTGCCGGCTATAAAGCCATATACAGCTCCTTTACCTCTGTTAAAATAGAAACACATCTTTGTATAGGATATTTTGAAAGTTTAATAGATGTGTTCTTTTCATTTTGAAGCTTCCTTAGATCATGAATTGTATGCTCAATATCATTAAGCTCTTTGTTTAATTTTATTTTATAGTTAATTGTATTAGACCTCTCTAAATTATGGGTCGAATTCCTGAACGCTAAATTTTAAAACATTCTAATTGAATCCTTAAACTGAAGTATTGCTTTAATCAGATTCTTCTGTAAGCTGATATTTAACGTCAAAACTGATGCTTATGTCAATGGAAAGACTTGATTTGTATTATACTGTAATTGGTTATATGATACGGTCGATTGAAAGGATATAGAGAGAGAGTAGATAATTATGATTTATGGTTGCTGTACGATTTAAAATTCAGAAGAATTAAGGGCATACAACTGCTTCCTTGTTGGTTAAAAAGAATATACAGGTACCATATAAATATAAGTTATAAACTGGTCTAATTCTAAATTATATCCCTCTACTTTAATAAAACTATAAAGTTAATCCTTTAGTATATATTTTTTTTCAAAATTTGAACCTCGTGTTTTATAAAAAAAAAAACTAAAAACTTAGTCCGATTAAGAATATTTTTAAACTTTGCAGTTAAATCACTAAATGAATAATAAACAATTCAAAAAAGTGTATGCAACAATATATCAGCAGTTTACCAGAAATCAACAATTCATGTATTTATCAACAACTTAGTAATTTTCATAAAGTATAAGAACAAAATTATGATAAATTAAAATGTAAGGATTAACTTGTCGATTTTTATAAGGAAAAGAGATGAAAATCAATTAGAGCTTTATATATTGTAGAAAAATAATGTTGTAGTGGTCTTCACCCCCAGCCATAGACTTTGAATGTGATGAGCTAGTTAAAGAAGAGACGTGATTCCAAACAAAAACTGCATAAAAGTAAATGGAGAGGGATAGGATAGAGACCCTAATTTAATGGACAAAGATTCGGGTAATGATAAAGACAACACAAATTCAAGCAAAGAAGGGATTGACTTATGGGGATGGAATGTTTCTGTACCAGATTTAAGTGTGGGGCACCATCTTTGTCTTAATTTTCAAACCCCTTTTTTATTAAAATAAAAGAGTGCTTGTAATGTTATGGGGCTAAGATCTGCCATTGAAATGGATTATTAGGTAAGGTTTATAGTTGGAGCAGGTAAACCCGTTCTCTTTTCTGAAAGAATCGAACTCCAAGGGCGGCCACCCTTCACTACTTTCACCCTAACATACGTGAAAAGACAATCAACGATAATAATTGGCATTAAGATTTCAGGATTCAATTAGGGTTTATCAAATGGTATGTTTAGAAACTCCATATCTTGTATGCAAAGTACAAACTTCATCTCTCTTTTACGTTCCACATACGGCACGCTTTCATTAATGCAATATTTCTGATAGAAGAATCCATGGAAACAATTCTAGATTCACATAAAGGATAAAACATAGAAACTCTCATGAAAAGCAAAACCCCAAATTCGATCCGATCTGCTTTTTACACTGTTCATAGGAGAGATAGGAGATTGAAAAGCAAAGAAAACCACCATCATTATATATATATGTATCCTACGATAATGATCTGTTAGTTCTAGACAACTTTTAACAAGTAATGATCAAATCAACCATCTGAAAAAACAAGAGAGAGAAAAATTAAGGAAAACTCAGTTCCTTGATCCTTCCTCTTCTTCTTCATTTCTTTTACCATGATCCTCCACCTAACACTCCATTATTATTCCAATATCCAGCTGAATTGCTTGGTTCCTTGTTTTGATCATCAACTTCATTAGAGCTTGAAATTGGTTTCATTTCTCCAAAAGGGAAGAAAACCCTTCCACCATTATTCTCTTGACCACCATGGAGCACGCCAGACCTATTCACAGCTCCATCGATCGGAAAACTGAGTGTAGGTTTATAGTCTTGTATGGAAAACTTCGTAGAGTAAAGTGTAGCCGAGTTTTGGGTCGGCGCCGGAACGAAAGAATTCAACCCCTTTGATGATGCCATCCCGGCCCTAAGGAGATCCATAGCCGAAGGCGAGTAGTAGCTTTGCTGGTCATTATAATGAGATAAACCCAAACCATGATGAGTCTCTTGCATAGCCGGGAAAGTCAGGTTAAGGTCCTGGCCTTTGTGGGCTGGTGGCTTAGGGTTTTGAGACGACAACAAGTGTGGGAAACTCGTCGGGTTTAGATCTGGTACTTTGGCTGAAGTCGATGATGACGACGAGGTGGATATCGTAGTCGATCTTTTGTTCTTCCTCGAACCACCGCCAACCGGCACATTTCTTAAAGACCCACCTTCGGTCCAGTACCTCCTGCAAGTCTTGCAGAAGTATCTTGGCTGCGTGAGGCTATAATTGTTGTAGTAACAAAACTTGGTGTTTGTGGAGTTGCACCTCGGGCAATTCAATTGCTCCGGTGGCCCTGTTTTTCTCTCTAGATCTGGCCCTCCCTTTGTGCACGTGTTGGGCACCGTCTCCTCCATGGGCTTCACCATGCCAATACCCCGAAAGCCCTTTTGACACATGAAGAAAAGACCGAGAAAGCAATCATTTCACCAGCAACACAAAACAATATCAGCTAGAAAATAATAATAACAAACAAAACCTTTCTTCATCTCTTTAAAAGATGGGGAAAATGAAAAAGTGCAGGCTTTTGGGTGTTGGAAGAACAAGACTAAAGTTCAACACACAACGAAGGACTGATCTTTGAACAATGATATTAAGAGAAACACTTGCACCCTCTCCATGAACAAAAGAAAAAGTATTGTCTCAAAAAAAGAACGTGGAAATTGATTTTTATTAGGCTCTAAAAAGCAAGAAAAAGAAAGGAAAAATCCACCTACCTGTGAAAATTTATGAGCATCCATTAAGTTGAGAAGATAAAAAGAAAAGAAAAGAAACTCTGATGACTTCACAGAGAGAGAGCTCCTTTGTTTGTCTGCAACTGATGATCTCTTTTAGAGCAAGAAAGCATGTTTTTAGACTGTTTCTATGGTAGCTTTATGTGTTGGCTTTGCACTTTATGAATGATGCAGAGAGAGGGTTTGTTTTGAGTTTTGACCACTCATATCGTTTAATTATGGACATTCAAATCCTGTTTTGATTTTATAATCAGCTGCCAATGTGTGGGTGGAATTATGACTCTGCCCTTTCAGGGTTTTCTCCTCTCTTTTTTTACCTCATAAATCTAAACACTTTTTTTTCTCGACTTTTTTTACCGAAATATTTACATGTCAGTTACTCTCTCCACAAATATTATCGATCTAGCACTGAAATATTTCCTTGATCTAATACCTTCGTGGGATTATGTCCGAGCTAGTGCCACGTAAAGGGAAGACACGGATCATCATCTGCACCTTCGCAGGATTCTAACACGTACGGAAGACTCGAATCATGCCATTATGCATGTTAAATTATTTGTATTATATTATTACCCGAGCCTGAAAACTTGGCTTTTAAACGCTCTCCTCTTCTATAAATAACATCCCCTCTGAATGCAAACATCATCACACCAAAATTACTTGTTTATTCTCACTTCTATCAATTCCTTGTATAAAACTAAGTAGATTTTGTTATTTTTTTTATAAGATAAAATTATTTTTTGATTATATTATATTTAATTATTTAAACAAAGTTTATTTTATTAATTATTTTATATTATTTTTTGCGGTTATGATATTAGAAAGCAGTATCATACCTCGAGATATTTTTCCGATACGATAACAATATGAAATTGTGTTATTTAAATTATTGTGAAATTTTTAAATTTATTGGATTAGTTTATATTTTAATTCATATATTATTTATTTATTTAAGCGTATTTCAACTATTGTTTTTGTATATATAAGACTCTCAATCTTTCAAACTCTCAAAATGACGCATATTTCAGCTATTGTTTACTATGAGGACAGTCTTATAGTAATTCCAACATGAACCTTCCTTGAAATTTTAGTGTTCCGCATATGTATACGACATTTGTTGAAGTGCCCAAACAACTTAGAGTGATGTTTCTCTTAAAGGATATTCTAACATAATGATTTGATGCGAAGACGACGCCGATTCCATCTTTCCGGATTTCTCAATCATAATAAACAATAGCTGAAATACGCGTCATTTTGAGAATTTGAAAGATTGAGAGTCTTATATCTGCAAAAACAATAGTTGAAATAGCCTAATTAAATAAATAGTATATTAATTAAAATATAAACTAATCCAAAAAAATTAAAAATTTTCACAATAATTTAAATAACACAATTTGATATAGTTATTGTATCCGTAAAATGTCTCGAGGTATGATCCTGCTTTCTAATTTCATAACCGTAAAAAATAATATAAAATAATTAGTAAAATAAAATTTGTTCAAATAATTAAATATAAAATAAATATAATATAATCAAAAATAATTTTATCTTATAAAGACAATAACAAAATCTATTTAGCTTGATACAAGGAATTGATAGAAGTGAGAATAAATAAATAATTTTAGTGTGGTGATGATTGCATTCAGATGTGATGTTATTTATAGGGGGAGTAGGAGCATTTAAAAGTTAAGTTTTCAAGTTTGGGTAATAATAGAGTACCAATAATTCAATGTGCATAATGGAAGACGCAGATCATCAGAACCCCACCATCTGCGTCTTCCTCTTATATTGTTCCAGGTCAGACAGAATCCCACGAAGACGCAGATGGCGATCCGTTCTTTATTACCATCGTGTTAGGAAAGATGTTAGATTAATAATATTTAGAGAGAGTATACCTGATAATTAATTATTAAGTCTAAGGGTGATATTTTTGATAAAAAAACGCCCTTTTTCTCTCATTCCCTCTTTCCTTTTCTTTTTTGTTTTATTTTCTAAATTATCCTCCTTCCTAAGCCAAAAACACACTATATTACACGCATTTTTATAATGTCTTTTACTTACATGATTGTAAGATTACAAGAGTTTGATTATAAAATAAATTATATATGTTAATGATCATTAGTCGAGTCGAATAATGACGATAATATATATATATATATATTGTATGTAATTATTTAATTAATATATATTTAAAAAGGTATATTAAACACTTGAAAGAATTTATACTTAAACAACAATAGATTTAATAACTTACTGCTAAACATGTTAATTTTCAATTATCTAAGATAAATTCTAAACTTGATCATACCTGGGTATTGAACTCTATCAGTTGTCTTATGAAATACTCGGGATCCCAACATTAAAGATTATCTTTAATTATTGTATTAACATAGGTCTAATCAAAGTCGATATTTGTATCTAACAACTTAAAATTAATATGTTTGACCACGAGTTTATCAAATCTCACATTATGTTTAGATATGAGATTTTGTAAATGTATAAACATAACATTTTAACCATACATTTATTAAATAAATGAATACAAGATTTATACACATACATTCTCGTTGTTTAATTCGTACTTGTGTAAATATGTGTCTTTGACATATTTGTATGTGCTTATTTTTTGGATAAACAAACAATATAAAAAACATTTCCAAGTATAATATATACCAAAATTCATATAAAAAAAAGAGGTTTTGTAATAAATATAAAAAAAAATAGGAGAATGGACCACAAGATGAGAAAATTGATCATAGTTTATACACCAGTGGTGTTAACTTGTCAAAAAGATGATCTTCACTGGTTCTACTTTTTCATGTGATCTTGAAATTAGTTCCTTCTGTTTGCTTGCAGTTGAAGTTATACATGTTTCACCCATTTCTCGGTCAACATTTTCTATTTTATATGAATCATCAATAAAATTTATTAAAATCTCTATTATTTTAGATAACTTTCTAATAAAATTACGAAGAATCAACGTCAATTGCTATCCTTCTCTAAGATTAAGTTGTTAACAAATGAAAATAATATTTTATAATAAAAACTAAACATTTAGCATTATGTCCGGAACGAGATGATTTCAACCTTCAGCTGCTTTAAGAAAGGAGGAGAAAAAGGGTAAAATTCAAAAGAAGGGTGGTTTTAAAGAACAGAATTGAGAGGGGAGCCGACAGGAGCCGACAAAAGGATACTTGGGACCCAGATAATGCGATATAGGTCATAGGATGAAGAAGATAGGTTGTTTTTTTTTATTATTCTTTTTAAATGGTTGATGAGGGTGACATATTTGGCTTCAAATTATTCGAAAACAGCCAAAGGCTCAGAATCTCAGTGCCTCTTCTAGTTTGGTTACACCCAATTGAACTCCGAAACCGCCTTGCATTTTCCTCCCTCCTTTCGCCTTAATGCTTCTGCTTTATGCTTTGACACCACTAATCAACCATTCTACTCGAACATCCCGATTATCTTTATTTAATCTATGCTTAATATTTAATACTTTCAGTTAATTATATCTAATATATTAAATTATTAATTAAATTCCATCGATAGTATCTTCCTCCCATCACTGATATCATTTTGTTTGCTTCAAACGTCGACCTACGTTCATCATCCATCATTCTATTTTATGAAAATTAAAATATCATTTCTATTAATAATACTGTTAAACATTACTATTAAATGATCAACTTAAATTTTACTATTCCATCATTTATATAATCATTTTTATTTTATTTTTTAAAATAAGCAAATTAGATACGAATTATTATGCTATTGACATAAGAATCAGGTTAAAGATTTTCAAGGACTTGAGCCTGATTCTGTTACTTTCAATTTGGGCCCATGTTTAAGACCTCCCCTATGTTTTCGTATTCCAAAAATACTGCTTTTGTACTAATTTTATGAGGTTTATTTAATTAAAAATGACGCCATTAGATTAAATATAAAGTTGTATTTTCAAATTATATAGGTTACAAAATTCATTAAATGGTTTTAGTGACCAAAGGAAATGTTGTTCTCTCTGGAGGTCATGGATTCAAGTAGTTAGGGGTGTGCAATTTCGAATATCAAATCAGATATGATCTGAAAATTCAGATATCTGAATTTTTGGATACCTAAAATAGTGATCCATGCACATCTGAAATTTTAGGATATCTGAATTTTCGGATCAAATATACGGATATCTCAATCCAAATATAAAATTAAATTTTATATTTTGTGACTTAATATAACTTCTTCAATACATCTACTAAATTATATATATATATATATATATATATATATATATATATATATATATATATGTATGTATAATAATTAAATATCTTAACTCTTATTGGGCTAGAGTTTTAATAGGTTAGTGGGTTATTCATTTAATGGACTAAAGGCTATCTAAAATCTAAATACCTTATTTTTTTAGATTTTCGGATAATCCGAAATTAGAATTTATCCGATCCAATTATTCGAATTTTTTAGATATTCGATTGGAATTATTTGAAATAAAAAGCAGATCATATATCTAAATTTTCGGATAGGATCATAGATCATGTCGATTGGATCAGATCTTTTTGCACAACCCTACAAGCAATTGTATCTATAGGGTGTGTGCATTACCAAATAGTTAATAATGTTTCAAACAAATACTACTCTGTAATATTTTATTTAAACTAAAATTGACATGAAATGACCAAGTTGGAAGAATTATTAGAGTGAATAGTGAATTTCAAAACTTATAAGAGGCATAAAGTTAAATTTTACAACAAACTTTCTAATTTCGATACGTTATAATCTAAAACTTTTATAATTTCATGGGCTAAAGTAATAATTTACCAAATCAAGGGGGACAATGCCCCTCCTAGCTATCGGAGCCGATCCGTTTACATGGCGTGTTCATATCCTCTTTGCTTGGCCACTATGATTGTTGGTGTTATATATATAAAGTGGATGGCAAAATCATCAGGCCAACAACGCAGGTAGAATAATTAATTAGTAAAATAAACACCTTCAAATTTATTTTAGGATCTAGACCATTTATTATAAAATATATTATAAAAATGAAATTTATCATACAAAATGAATCAAAATTATATAAAACTCGTCACATCTACGTGACTAGTTCCAAGCTCGTCATCTCTAAGTGACAAGTTTTACGTGTACGGTAATAAATAATCTAGACCTCAAAATAATTTTCCACTCATCTCATTTTCTAAAAAAAAAATCCCAGTCTGTATTATTTGCATGATTTTACAAAAGAGGATAAATTATTCAAAATTTATGATAAAAGTCTTCATATTTTTTGTACATTAGGATTCAGATTCTCTATTTTAATTGTCAGAAATTTAATTTATTAAATTCTGAGGTTTACAAATTAAAATCTAATTATTAATATCATCAGTATTATTTTGTTATATTTAGAAATAAAAATAAATCAATTAATCATAAATATTTATTTTTATTTAATTATTAATATTTAATCTATTTATTAATCAATTTAAATAAAATATTATAAAATACGTTATAAAAACAACCTTTTCAATCTAATTTATTATAATATTAGAATCCCAACCTACAAACTTTCTTTTTAAGAACAATTAATTGAGAAAAACTTTGAGCATATTTGAACATGTGAAGTTTCTTTATAAAATTTTGGTGAGTAACATAAATATTGGCGTGTTTTTAACGGTTTTAAAAAGGCCTAACCCGAAGCTTTCGAAATCGTGCTCCTTATAGCATCGTCTCTAACGCATCTCTCTGGTTTTCTTTGTGTTTCTCTCATCTGTCTCAATGTTTGAACAGTAAGCGAAACAACAAAAAAATAATACAGAGAGATGGGTAGAGCTCCTTGTTGTTCTAAAGTAGGGTTGCATAGAGGTCCATGGACTCCCAGGGAAGACACATTGCTCGTCAAGTACATTCAAGCTCACGGTGAAGGTCACTGGAGATCCCTCCCTAAGAAAGCAGGTACCAAATCTTCATGGTTGCGAGTTCGTTTGAGTTGATTCAAGTACTCAGTGTTTCGTATGATCGAGTTTGTTTGAGTTTAATTTGCAGGGCTACTTAGGTGTGGAAAGAGTTGCAGGCTGAGATGGATGAACTATCTAAGACCAGATATTAAGAGAGGTAATATAACACCCGATGAGGATGATCTCATCGTCAGACTGCATTCTCTTCTCGGAAACCGCTGGTCTCTCATCGCCGGACGGCTCCCTGGTCGAACCGATAACGAGATTAAAAACTACTGGAACACCCATCTCAGCAAACGTCTTTTAAGCCAAGGGACCGATCCCAACACCCACAAGAAACTACCAGACCCGGTCGTGGTTGAAGTTCAACTGGTGAGGAAGCGAAAGAAAACCATCTGCAGCAGCAGCAAACCAAAAAAAACAGCCGAACCAGAAAAACACAAAATCCATCTTCCGAAACCCATTCGAGTTACAGCTTCGGTTCAGTGTACCAACACATTCACCACTGTGTCTTCGAGCCAAGGAGGAGGAGAGGTACTGCAAGCTCCCTGGACCGAATATGTCAATGCTGACGAAAACGGGACAGGGTTTTTATCTGGTTATGATAATAATGATGATCGTGATCATATCAACGGCTCAGATTTCGAGTGTCAGTCTCTTCATCATCATCATCAAGTATATGGTACCGAAGATGATACCAATTCTCTGGACAAGCTTTACGAAGAGTATCTGCAGATTCTGAAGACAAATGAAGATCAAGTGCAGATGGATTCTTTTGCAGAATCATTACCGATATGATGATTCCGAGAAATGGACAAAAAATAGTACGATGTCGTTGTGTTTAATTACGTCGTGTCCATGTATGTAAAATGACATTAAGTGTTTTAATGTTCATCAAATAAAGTTGGTTGACGTTGAATATTAGCTTTCACGTGCTAATCTTCTAGGTAGTTGTGTTTTGTGCAAGTATATTTGATATAGTATCTATGGATATAAATTAGGGATCGGCATTGCACCCGAACTCGACGGTTCCTATTCGATCGGATCGGGTCGGATTTTTTTTTAAAAAAAATAGCTTCGGGTCGGGTCGGGTCGGGTTCGAGTTTAGGGTGAAAATACCTGACCCGACCCCGACCTGAGAAAAATATAATTTTACTTTATATATTTAGGAATAATTACAATAATACCCCTCTATATATTATTTTTTTCAATTAAATTATTGTTGTTATTGAATAAAAAATAATATTTTATTATTATTTCGGGTCGGGTCGGATCGAATTCAGATTTTATCTCAAAAAATCGGGTCAAATATATATATTTCGGGTCGGGTCGAATCAGTGAATGACGTAAAATTTTCGGGTCGAACCCGACCCATGCCGATCCCTAATATCAATAAATATATTTTATTGTTGGATTAATGAGCTGTCCAAGGCAATGCTGGTACATTAGGAGTGGAGTGTTGAAGTCACTTTATTGAGCAGACAGGGATATGTGGGTGCTACTATCATATAAATGTTCACAACCGGCAAGTTAGGAGAATTCTGGGAAATGAATAATGAAACTTATCAATTGGTCAAAACTATAAGATGGTGAATACACAAGTGACTTGTTGTTTATTAATGGTTTCATCATTCAGCCATTTGCCTGCTTTTGTTTTTTTAATGAGAATCTGTGTCTTTACATCTATGGTTTCTTCCTAGCATTTAAGTCTTTAGGGAAAGTTTATCTTGCGTTTGTTGTAGGACCAACATACTTATATGACCCTAACATTACACAATATATACATAATTATATATATATATATACACACACACATTGTCATGATGCACTGTTGGACAGTGTCAAGTTGTCCTCTTCGAATACATGCATGTTTTGAGAACAAGGATAGAATTGGGATCGAATATTAAGAGGATCCAATTAGTGAACTTCAAAAATATAATAAACTTAATATTTGATGAACAAAATCTAATTTATTTATTATTTTAAAGTATACAAAACTAAATTTCTATTAAACTAAAAAAAATAATTTTAAAAAAAATGTAAGTGGATTTCCTGAAAACGGAGCCCATTCATAAATAAATATTTATTATTTAAATAGATTAAAGAAGCATTAGCGTACTAAATATAACATTGGTTCTTTAAATTGGCCATCAATGCAATTAATTACTTGATTACTACTGTGCACGTACTTTTTATCATATAATATTGATTTACGTATTGAAATACAACAGCACTGGCCAATATGCTGTTGAAACTCCAAAGTTAAAGTTTAGTTTTGCAGAAAAGAACTCTGAAAAGGCAGTTTAATGGAGGAAGCAATAATTTTAATCCAGAAAGGTTATAAAGTGGTTTTAGGGTTTATAAAAGATTGACTCTCAATTAATTCCCAAAATAAATTCCTTTGTTAAAGGCTTGTTGTGTTTTGAGATTATTAAAACAAAACCAAAAACAAGTGAAGTAAACCATAAACAAAACAAATATATACTCATAAGATAAAGATTATTAGAAAAAATTATCCTTAATTTAAAAGTTTTAATCTCAGGTAATTCAATGATTCAAAGAACATGTAAAAGTTTTTAAAGTTACATTATGTTGAATTCTAACACTATGCACGGACAGGCCGAAAGGGAAACCGGCTGCGCCTTTGAAAATTTTAAGTTCTCATGTAATTTACGTATTTTCTTTATATTTTTATTGATAATTTGTTTTCGTCCTCTAAAATTTTGTAAATTAGCCTCTAACATAAAATCATACGTGCAGGGAATATATTATTAATTTACTATCTCATTTCTTTAATCATCGATCTATCACAATAGACATCATACTAAACGTCAACAATTTTATAATATTGAGAAAATAAATTCTCAATTTCAATTCAAGAAAAGGAGAAGAAAAACATTCTCGTGAAGGGAATTCTTTAAAAAAAAAGGAAAAGAAATTATAAATAACACATTCCCTTTCCTTGCAAGTAACAATTATGCCCAGAACGAATTAAACGACAAGACATGTTTGAAAATTAATCTATGTACATATATGTGTCTTGGTAGATAATATGAACAAAAAGGTAACGTTAATGTGAAAGCTATGCTTATGAGTTTTAGAGAACAAATTGATTCACACCCTATTATTGAGGTACAAGGGAACATTACTTCAATGGCAAAGAAATCAACATCCATCTTTATTAATATTTATTTTATATTTATGTGATGTAAGTTTCATTATTCCACTTATTTTAATCGTAAAATTTTAGTTAAAATTATTAATTTATTTATCTATTTTATACATCTTATGAAATTTATATTTAAAATTCACAGCACCAAAATATATAAATAAATATTTTTATATAGATAGTATATTTGTTGTGATGTGAATTTCAATCTTTAAAAACACGTTTAACGGAATTTATACAACAATCTCAGTGGTAAAAATAAGTATTATTTTCTTTAAAAGTTTAGAATTTAAATAGATACGTATCAGTGACACATCTAAAAATTAAAAAATGAGGGTCTAAAATTTTAATACCCTATTATAAAAAAAATTTGGATACGCAAATTTTCTTATTTTTTTTTCTATTCCTATTAACAAATTAAACTAAATTTAACACTTTTCTCAAAATAATGGGTGTGCAATGGCTCCCCTAAGAAGCCATGTACATCCGCCCCTGCTACGTATGCATGATACATGTACACTGTCAATAGTTAAAAAAAGGGACTTTCTTAATTAAATAATCAAAATTACTTGAAAATTTGTACAGACCATTAAAATTATTTTGAAGTGCCGACACATAGTTTATATATATAGCTAGAAATACATCCAACTTTCTCCTGCAGAATTGCAGCTTCATTGTTCTTTATATTTTGAGAGAAGTGAGCTGCTTGACAGTGGAACTGCTGGGGTTGAAAAGTACGTAAACTAGTATTTAATATCATAAAGTAAACTATACATATTTCTTAACTAGCATTATAATTATATTAACATTATAAGTCAACGGTATTCCTCATTATTGGTAAATCTCATTCCCTCCGAGATGACGCTGTTTAATAGTATTGCAATCAAGCTAAGAGCTGGGGTTAATCGCTGTTAAGTTGTCTCATAGTTTATTAATACTAATGGGGTTTTATCATTAATGCTTTGATAAACATCAAGTTCGAGTCTTATAAGAAGTTTTATCTAAACAATAATTTGTAAGAATTGTTGTTAATTCTTTGTGAAAGAGGTTGGTATAGCAGTTTGAAAAGTTTAGGCCTAGGAGGAGTGGTGATTTCTTGCTTGGATCCCCCCATTCCTTATTCCATTGAAGAACAGAAAATAAATAAACTCTGTGCATCAGACTTAAATTTGGGCTAGAAAGGATGACACTTGCACATGGGGTTATTTTTATATCTAGTAATTTTGTTAGGTCAATTCATATACAATCAATAGTAAATGAATCCATATTGCTAGCTATCCATTGGTGTAATTTCGTCCGGATTGATGTAACGAGAAATGAATTTACCGTTGTGACGAGATGATCTATTATCTCAAAAATAATTGCTGATGTAATAAAAAATGGACATCGTCTCTAAAATTAACATATTACCTTTCAGATTCTTACCGTCGAAATAAAGAAGTTGGAACTCAAAGTTGTGCTAAAAGGAGTCCATGTGATAAAAAAAGATAACATCAATTCGCTTCGTTTCATTTCATTCAACTGCAATGGCCTCTACCAGCACCGGGGCAGATGTGCAGGAGGATGGGGTCCAGTTCTTTCCCATTTTCGACGGCGCCTAATACCCATGACTGGTAATAATACTTCATGGCGCAACAATCAAATTAATATGTAATTAGCATGAATATAGAACTGACAAAGATCTCAAAGTCGAGTATCATATCTGGATTGTGTGCAACAAATCGAATTACGGCCCATCCTCCTAGCGGAACTCCAACTGTGTCTATATAAGGTGGATCGATTAAGTTAAAGATTAAAGTTCCCGGTACCATATCCGACGATGTAGAAACTGTAGCAGTGAAGATGGATCGCGGTGACTGTGCTAATGTCTTGGAAGATATATTGTACCCTGCTTCCGAATTTGACTACTTTGGCCACTGATGGTCTGTGTGTTATTAGGAGCAGTATTTGGTGCCCCATTGGCAAAGTAAGAATTGAAGCGGTGCACCAGGAAAGTCCACTGTGAACTGACCGGCCAATCTTCATGCAGAAAGCTTCCAGAATAGAAATAGTAGGCTTTACGACGCTTATATTTGTTCATGGAAGCTGCAAATGTCCCATTGTTCATGCCTTGGCAATTCTTGTATCCTATAGGACATTGATTAAAATTAATAAAATCAAAGTAAACAGAGTGAATGCACAACTTACATATAATACAGGGATTGAGGACAACAATTGACCAAATAAATAACGATATCGAAATTCTTTCGGTTACCCGACCGGAACTGGATTTCACCAATTTTGATTTAATTCGTGATTTCCTAAAAATTGTATCACCCGTTTTAAATTTCTGGGCTTTCATCAAAGATCAGAGAGTCTCTCGTCGAAGAAAAGTTGATAAAAAGGCAGGAAAATCCGATTTAAGATATGGCGGTGATGCAGAAACTGAAGATATTCGTAGTGCAAGAGCCAGTTGTGGCTGCTTCTTGCCTCATCGCTGGTTTTGGTTAGCTTTATTCCTCCTTTTTTTTTTATCTTCAATCTAATAATCAATTATCAAAAGCATTTCACAAAATTTTACCTTTTTTCAATGGGTGGCTTTTTCAGCCATTGACGCTGATCTCCAGTTCTAGGTTGTGAGTATTTAAAGATTTGGAATTAGGAGAAACATAGGAATTTTTTTTAGGGGATCCGGAATCATCTACGCATCTAGTTTAAACTTTAAAGCTGTTATCGTTTTATTGAGTGAAATTCAATTCACAAACTATCATCCAATGTATGGCTTATACATATATATTCTGATGCCAAGGATTTTAGATCTTAGAATGATGCATAAAGTAGGTACATTCTATGGCTTAAATCCCTGTGGTTGATGCATAAAGAATGGTGGTATTGCAAAAGGCAGTTCTTGGGATAACACACATTGGGATCATCACAATTAGGCAATGAGTCTCTGAATTCAAATAAGATTGCTTCTGGTGTTGCTTGTACGAGTCTCTCTTGAAGAGAGAAGAATAATGTTGTGTTTCATAAATAACTAAAAGAGATTGGTGTTTGAATTTCAGTTTGTTTCAGCATTTGTGTGGAGATTGGTACTTTCCTTCTTCTTCTTTCTCTATTTTTGTTGTGTGCGTACACTGTTGTAAAAATATGCAGGTCTCTTCCTACCAGCTATTGTAAGGCCCACTTGATTCCTTAGATTCATCAAAGCAAGTCCCTCAACCTACTCTAAGAAATGTATGAATTGCTAGAATCCTTTTGACAGGCTTTATTTGTTTAATTCTTTTTGTTTTGGGTTATCTTACCAGTTTTAAATTGCGATAGACATGTCATAAGAGAGAAGTTATGAGATTGTTTTCTGTGTCAAAGGAATAATATTCAATCGAGTTCCTAGTTACTGTTTTTCCCCTTTTGACATGGCAAATCTCTAATCCATGCATGCAGTTTGAAATCTAGGTGTGCCAAGGAGGGTTGTTTTCAGTATATTGTCCTTATTTTTAACTTGTTCTACTTGGATCACAAAGTTGCTATTAGTGCTTGTTACCGTTATTTTGGTTGAAAGTATATACCCTTTCTCATCTAGAAATTAGAGCGGATTTTTATCATCGAAAGGGAGAATATAGGCTATAATACAAGACCCTGAGAAAACTTCTTGCTTAGTTCGTTGCATATAAGATGGTTATTATAATTCTTGTTTATCTGAAATGTTCATTGCTTATTCTGGTTTGGATTGGCATGTTGGAGTTGTCATGCCTACGAACTAGACTGTCGACATTAGATCATTCTTGTGTACTCCAAAATTCTTTCAAATTTGGATGTCGAAATTCTGGCTACTGCTAAAATGATCCACGAATACTCTCCTGATAAATTTCACAGCCTTAGTTATGCTTCCGGTGTTCTATATTTATGTTCTCATTTTAACAGATTGATGTGCTCCATTGTTGCAGGTGGTTGCAGGTGTGACTGGTAAAAAGTAGGGTTGATATGATTTACCAATTGAAAAGAGGCAAAATTTGATTTAGCTCGTAACCAGAGCAACAAAATAAGCTAGACTTCTAATTGAGGAACCATTTAAAGAGTGAATTGTGCCTTCAACCTCCTGTTTAGAATGAGCATTAGAGTGCTACTTGTGGTTTATTTTCAGCAGTTGAGATTTACTCCAAGCATGGATAATTCTTTTCAGGGTGGAATATAACACCTTTTTTTCTTTCCTGGAAATAAAGTTCAACTGTACTTTGATTTTCATAATTGAATATGCTAGTAGTAGTAATTCGGTAATACACGTTTGTTTGGGTCGAGTGGTAAGAAATTCGATATTCGCGCACGGAGAAAATGGGCATTACAAACTTACCACTGTCCATGATATGATGGCCTGTCTCAACGTTTATTGCTACTAATACATATAGGCCAACGTAGTCGTGAAATACTTTTACATGCAGGAGTTTATAATTGCAGCAATACCCATATATGCAACCAAATAAACTTAGCTATATATATTACATTTGATTAGTCATTTTCATTCACAGGAAAAATATATAAAATCGGATTGGGATTTTAAAAATCAGCCCCCATATACCTATCCTTCTTTTCCGTCTTGCTCCACGGAACCACTTGCTTTAAGCCTTCATAGATACTTGCCTGTCGTGTTCCACGCAACAAATCAAACAACTTTCCAGGATGAATAATTAGAACAAATCAGTAAAACGGTCTTATTGACCAATGGGCAGGGACTTGAATGAAAAATATACAGAATGAATATGTTTGTTAATTTCTCTATTAAATTATGAATTTAATGCAAAATTATTATAAGAAAAGAAAATAAATTGGACCATAGGAACGAAAGGATGAGTTATTATGTATTCCTTGAGAAAATATCGAAGTGACTAATTGTGGAATTAGTCTCTCTGTTATGTTAAATCAATGATATATTCTTTCTAACTTGACATAATTTAGTCATTGCACTTGTATAATGTTGTTATTAGATCCAAATTTATAATAGGAAAATGATGATCTGGATAATTCTTCTTTGTGTATGAATCACAGTATCTAAGTACAGACTAAAATGTAGAGCCTTTTCCTATCAAATATTTAATGTTGTTGTATTTCCAAGTCCTCGGGTTTAAGAGCTTGGTTAATCTGAAATCAAACTCTTGGTGGTACAGCCATCATTTGGAAATATAGATCAAAGTTTGTCAAATTAGAGGGATTAAATCCTGAAATTTTAATGAATTAGAGGGAGTAGAACCCTAAATATACCTAACAAAGCAGCATACCCGTCGAAGAACTCAAAAAAAGAGAGAGAGAGAGAGAGAGATACCCAGAAATGGGATTTGGAATGAGGGAGACTGCCCCTCTTTCTCATCCTGCTCATACTAACGTTACTGTATTCTTCTCCTTTATCTCCATACGACGGGAACACATAATTCTTCCCTCCAACATCGCTTCTCCTCCGAGAACCAAGAAACCCTTTGTTCCTTCTCTTGCTAAGAACCATCGCACCATCATCGTCGTTCTCAGAGTCAGGGCTAAAGCTACCGGCACGAAACGACCCGCCGTAACGCTCACTTTTCACCATTCTAAAAGAAGAAGACAGAAGCCTACCCCTACTCACGTAAGGAACATCCAAGACCGTGGTGGGCGAGTTCAGTTTGTTCTTCTTCTTATTGGCTTCCTGCACTAGCAGCAACCTGGGGGGTAGTTCCAGACACTTGCGAGCAAAGTCTTCAGAAAAAGGAGTGATCGTGGTGCAAGGCTTGGGCTTTCCCGGTTCTTCTTCCCACCCGAACGGGACCGATGCCGAGGCCCGTAACGGTGGGGTTAACGTCCCTGGTCTTTCCGGTGACACCACCACGTGTGCATGTGGAGATGAAAACAATGGTAGCCTTGATGACTGTTTCTCTGCTGACTCGAATCCCATGGTTTGGTTGCTTTCGGAAAGTGGATACTATTGTTATATATGGAAAGGAGTGGGGAAATGTTTTTAACGTACGGGAAGGGTAGAGGAAGAAGAAGCTCTTCTTCTCAACTTGAACCGTAAGTTACAAAAACACTTGATATAAGCTTTACAAATTAATGGAAAGAAAAGAGGGCACCATTTGTATTTTTTTATTATTATGTCAATTTTTTTTCATAAACTAAATTTTAAGATTATTTTATCAACATATTATAAATTATTTATAAGACTCGAATCTGAATATTTTATTTAAACAAATATTCTCTTATAATATATATAATTATTCATTTAAAATACACCAAATATTCATGGTTAGTTTGTTACCCCCAATCATACAAGCAATAAAGTTGGAAAACATACATAGATGGCGTACCCCTTTAGAATATCTTTCACTAAAGGTACCTAATCTTTCCGACTTTGAATTGAAAATAAAAGGTGAAGCAGATACCACAAGGTTTTAATTCACATGCCGAACCAATTTCTGTATATTTATTATAAAAGTTTTGCTTCAGGTTGCGTCATATACAATCAAATATTAATGTATTTCTCTCTGTATATATATTATATTATTCCACTTATAATTATTTTTTAAATAATTTTTAAAAAAAAATACAAAATCTTCTGATTCATCGGTGTAATAAACTTTAGAGTGTTTTGTAGAATTAACGGATAATTTAATCCTCAAATTATTTTAAAAAAATCAATTGAATCCCTAAAAAATCACACTCAAGCATTAATGTAATTTGTTGATTACTCTTGATGTACACGTATGCTTAACGGATAATTAATTAGCAGTCATTAATGCACGATGTACATGGGTTAGATTTATGGTGGGTTACTGCAAAGAAATCATAGGTTCAATGCATAATATTATTCATGAAAATAAAAGAAAGCGATCAAACACTTGTGGTTCTCGTGCTCCCACGACCTTAAAGACCCTATATCTGTCTTTGTCGGAGAACATAGACAATGCTATAAAAGGCCCTTCAACAACAAGTTTGGCGGATCAAATGTCATGCCTGAGCCGGAAAGTTTGTAATCTTTTTACACTGCCAACTTCTTCTTTTTCACATGCTAAAACACGAATATGTACAATTTCATTAATGAAAATTGCTGTACATATAATATATATATATATATATATATATATATATATATATATATATATATATATCATGGATTTATCCAAAAAACGATCAACGTTGCTACTTTAGAATTAACTATCATGCATTTACCTGTAAAAATGGAATTCCTATACAGATGCAGCTTTGTAAAATGGAATTGGGTAACTTGTTTTTTCTTACATAGGGAATTATTTATATACGTGGCGATAACATATAGATTTATTATATAGGTATCCATTTGTATCCATTTTATTTGATTAATTTTTCGCTCTCTAAAATCTATATACACTCGTTATATTTAAAGTTTTTGATCATTACAACTTACTATTTTTTTTATTCAAATAAAAAGGAGTATACCCTGAAAACATCTGCAACAATCATCCACCAATATTACACCATCAACAGAAATGTGTCATAGAGAAACATAAATTGTGGATGAATACGGAATACCGGAGACCTAAAAAAATACAAGTGGCAAGGGTTACTTTACAGGTTTGGTAAGGGGAAAAAAGGTGGTGGAAGGGCATTAAAAGTAGACGACTGTGTTAGCCATCTTATATATGTAATGACAAAGTCAAAAAGGGAGAAAAAGAAGGGTTAATTAATAAATGATTTGTGTATAAGGGACAAAGCTTATAATGAGAGTGGTTGAAGCATAAGGGAAAAGTAAGAAATAAATGTGTATTGTTTACATTATTTTTAATTCCAACCTAAACAAACCTGGGTCTCTCCTTTGACTTGAAGCTTTTTACCTTTAAGAAGCCATCAATGGCCTCTCATTTTCCTTAATTTTCACCATCTGTAAAGGCTAAAAACCGTGCTCACTACGGAATCCTTCATTGGACGTTTTGACTTATGAGCATTAGATAGGTTATTGCATGGGGTAAAAGAAAAGAAAGGGACGGATCAAAACATGAGCTCGATATGCATGAGCCTTTGGCAAATCCTGTCGTCCCATAAACTAAAGGAATATACTTAAACGTGGCCAGACAAGTATGATCATCTAGATGCATGGACAAAGGGGAAAAGCAGCTCCGGAAAGCAATTTTTGATTAACTTTTTGTATTATATTTATTGCATGCAACGTGAAAGGCTGCGTCACCATTAATATTACTTTTGTTTTTTTAATAATAATCCGTAATAGTGAACTGGAAACGAGAATGATTAAAGCGTATAAAAACACGACAATCACTCTCCTTCCTTTTCCTACTTAATTACGAGCACATGTTGAATATATTATGTTTTCTTTGCCCATTTCCTTCTTCATGTTGAAGCTTTTCACTTTGCTCTTCATGTCGAAGCTTTTAAAGTACCGACAAGTCACCGAGCACCATTGCTACACATATCATTAATTATCAAAATAATTCATTGATAGTGACTTATAAAATATTGCGTAAACAACCTTAACCATTCCTTATACAAGCTTCAGTTGAGAGAACTTACTCTACAGATCAACTTAATTCATTGCAAGCAGACAAGATAATGCTGCTATGTTGAACTTGATTTTATTGCAAGCAACAAGATAATGTGCTATGGTAATTGAGGATTAGTCCGGTTCGTAACAGGAATAGAGTCATGATCAAACATCAAATATTTAATTAGTCCGTTAATTAATGGACTCATACAAAATTCTTGAGTTGGATTGAATAATAGAGTGTAGGTGAAATGATCCTTCATTGGATTCTTACCATTTATTTTCCCTAGAAATCACCTGTAAGAAACAATGCAGCTGAGCTATAGAACAAATCTTTATGATTTGGATGGTCATAAATGGGAGTAGTTGAGTGAAGCAGTTCCCCATAATGCAATTCCATTTAAACGAGCTTATCATTTGGGACCCATCATCGTTTATTGTCTTCCACACACCACACTGCCACCAGTTACCATTATCAAAGCTTTTACTTCTTCCACCGCTTTCTGGATGCGATGGTGAAAAATTATTCTCAAACTAATTTTATTAAAAATGATGATCATAAATTTAAAAAGATTACTGTTAATAAATCGTAAAACAAATACAATTACACGAAGAAACCTTAGTAGATATAAGATGAAACTTTTGGGGGGAAATGATCGGGCCGAAAAATTACCCAATCGAAGCAAAATACGAAGGCCCAAGTTATTGCAACTTTAACTTGAATGACACCCATCTTAACGAAACAGAAAATTTTAACGAAAATAAATTATATTATAGAATATTTACATTTTTCAATAATTAAAATGTTTTTAATAAATAATTTATATCACAATTAAAGAACGTATGGTTAACTCTGAAATAAAGATTTATTATTGTAAGTATGACCCACTAAAATATACATAAATAGTACTTTATTAGGTGATATTGACCGGTGGTTATAGGAATATTAAAAAGTTAGGGGACACTGTTCAAATTGACAAAATCATAAATGTCATTATCAAATGGATTTTCTACCAACTTGTAATGTCTAATTCCCCCATTCTCAATTTGGCCAGTGCAAAAAAACCCTTCCACTATTTACATCCCCACATTTTGGACATCTTTTTAATAGAATGTAATCATCATTTTATAATAATTTGATAAAATTTATTAATTATTTTATAACAGGTCGATAAATTTAATAATCGTTTTATAATTTTAAAATTTTAATGACTAAAATGATCATTGAATCATAATTCAGTGACCTAATATGTATTTTAGAGCTTACTACATTATCCTGGCACCCATTAAAATCGTGAAAGCCGTACCCGAGCCTTCAAAGGAGCGGACACTTTACAAGTTTCAGTCGAAAACTGTGCAATAGGGACCAACAGCTGCAGCAGCACAGCATTTTGGTCACGGCTAACTTTTAGAAGCACGTTGGGGGTCCTCTGTGCAGAGAGCAGCAGTGAGGCATCGAGATCGGTGGCGAAATTGACGGGGCCAGACCCCATGGTGAAAACAACAACTCAGTGGGGAACCAACCAACAATGAACTAAGTGATGATTAAATGGAAGCACATTTAAGCCTTTGTTTTACACTAAACGAAACCAACAAAGCAAATATCTGCAAAATGCTTCAATTTCTAAACATAGAAAGTCTTCCCCTATTGTTTGACCATAAACAATACCAAATATAATATGATGGGCTTTCAAGCTTTTTCATGTTTCTGAATCCAAGCTTACAACAGTCCCTTCTTTCTTCAAATATGAGGCTGGAAATTTGCATCTGTCACTAATTTTCTTCACCTCCTCGATCGAATATATGAAGATCTTTCTTACCATCTTGCAGAATTCCCTGCAATTTAAATATATATATATATAAGGGGGTAAGCATTTATCTAAAACTAGCCATGAAAAGGCTACAAAAAGTGGATTACTTACAGCCAGGGATCATCGCCCACAAGCATCATGTCACCCTCGTCATCGGTATAAACAACGGACCATTTACTATGGGGAGAAAGCTCTCCCTCTATATCGAACATTTTCTCCAGCTCGTTTATGAGATCTTTGTATCCTTTCAATGAAGCTAAGTCAACTGCACGACCAACTGCAATGCCTTGCATTTGTACCTATGGAATCCACAAATCTTGTTTTTCATAAGAAATGAAATTTAAAATTGAGAGGGTTCTAAATAAAAACCGGAAATTTTACCTTGGCACGAGTTCGCATGGAAGTTGCAGTACCCTGCTTAGCCAGAATCTCCTTGGTTGACGTCTCTGATGTTGCAACTTGCTTCTGCTCCTTGGATGACTTTGAAGTTTCTGGATTTTGATCAATAGGGGATGAAGCTATATCGTTCACTCTCACTGCATTACTGCTCTCTCTCAAATTGAACCCGAACAACCGGCAACCTGTAGACATTTCAGAGTTTTTTCCTTTTTCAACTAGGTCATGCTTCAGGCCTTTGCATGGCCGGGATAGAACTGAAGATGAATCCCCTGGATTGCGAAATATGTTTCGAGAGACATTTAAAAGAGTTGAAGGTGGCCAGGAATTTTCAAGTCGAGTCATTGAGTTATAAACTCTGCCACTATTGATAATATTGCTATTAACTTCATTCTGTCTCACTGGCCAAATAACTTGGCTTTCACGGCTTTGGACTTCAGTTATGCTTCCAGTTCCTACTTGGGTAAGTTCGTGAGACACGGTCGAATCGCGACACCAGAAGGCTGAACCATCTGAATTTCCAGTTATTTCTACAATTTCAATAATTGAATCCCAAAGTTAATGAAGTCAACACTCAAGAATCTAATAAAATGCTTGAAAGGATAATTTTCCCGCACCAGAAGCCGGAATATAAACCGGTCGTGGTCTTTTGTTCTTTGAAGCCGGTTGTTCAAGACTTATGTTAGTAGAAACCGCAAATGGCTCTATTTCCCAAGGAGAAACTCTCTCTGGCCTTTCTATTATTGCAGGTTCATCCCATTGAATCTAAAATGAGAAATAGTTGGGCAGAACTACTATCAAAAACAAGAAAAAGAGTCAAGTTAGCATTTCAAAATCACTGATTCAAAGCTATATTCAACCTTCAAGGACCGCCATTTAGATTCTGACCAATGTGGGGAAATGTCTCCAACACCGACTATGGTCCCGGTGAACCTGATTTCCGAAAAGAAATCCCAATAGGTAAAAAGGGTCAGAGACACATGAGAAAAGATAATACATTGTTAATACCTTCTCTCAGGGGAGTCTTCACCCTCGAATCGCATCTTGAAACGCATGCCAATGAAGAATCCATTGTTAATAGCCTCCAGGTACTTGTTTACTCCTATTATGAATTGGCTTGTCCTGAACATGAGCAGAGGAAAGAAACTCGGTCCCGAGATAAACATAATTACAAACAAATGCTGTTAATCGTGTTTGCACCAAGGGATAAAATTAGAACCTTGGCTTGTAGTACACAACAAAGAAAGTCTGAGTTTTAACAGCGTGAGCAGCAGTAGCGAGCACTCCTAAATGCATGCTCTGGCTGGATATAACCGACGAAGGCATTGTGCTCTGTTGATGAGCGAGCCGCCTAACCCCAACTCTTAGTTTTCCATTATCACCTCTAACAAAACATGCCAGTGCAGTTACAGCCAAAGATACTGCACACATACACACACATATATGCAAAACATAAAATAAAATTCCAAGATACCGAGTACCTAAGAAAAACGAATACATCTCCCGCAACCAATCTCTTAGAACCGACAAAGGTGCTCCACCCAGTTGTAAGTAAATGTCTCCGTGGTTGCCCTGATGTTTGTAATTACAAGTCGAGAAAAGACCAAGAAATGAACAATAGATCTTGGAATTTGTTATGAAGGCAAATCTGAAATGGCACGAAAGCAGTACCCCTAAATATATGCTTGAATCGCCACTCGTACCCATGAAGATCCTTGGCAATCAACTCCTGAGTTGGAGTAGCTTGATTCATATCCTGAATAAAATAAATAACGGAATCCTAATCAAACACCACAATGAAACAGTCTAACAATGACTGTTAACGTCATAAACTGACTTATTACCAAAGGAGGCAGGCACTCGGTGGCATGCTTTCGGAGGACGGAAAACCCTCCATGAGTGCTAGTGTCCGATGCCGTTAAAATCTTACAGAAGGAATGAACTGCCCTCTTCGGAGCCTCAGATGGGAACGGATCTGGAATCGTTGGTTCACTTTGCTGCAATGATAGTATCAGTCATCATGCATCGAAAACAAGTATTTTCCTTATTTCTATACAAGTTTTATGAGTGAAATTGTGAGGGATAACATTGACCGACATCTGCTTCAGGCTGCAAAGTGATCTGAGCATAAACTTCATCAGTCTCTTGTTCAGCCTACAGAAAAAAGTAATAACATGATGATCTCTTCGAGTTCCAAAAAATAAAACAATTTAATACTAACAAGTAAAGAGAACTAGAATCTTAAATAGAATACCATTAACTGGACATGAAGAACACGACATAGAATCTTAGAAGGAAGATTAAACACTGGGGCTTCATGATTAGGTTCTTGATTAGTTGATGCTTCTAACTGCAGAGGAAAACAAAGGGCAGATTCCAGTTTTTTTTCCCGTAACGGAGAAATTTAAATAACACGAAGAATCTGAATTGCTTTCCAGAACAAAACGGAGAATTACTTGTTCCATGTGACCCTGAGGGAAGTAAAAGACTATCTCTTGAACCCGAGGAATCTCCACCAACGGGCCTGCGCATAATTTCCATAGTTCTGGATATAGATCATTGCCACCACCCAAACCTATCAACCAATAAGGAAAAGAAAAAAAAGAGTAAAGTCAAGCCAATATAAACAACAGAGGAAAAATGGGAAAAAATTAAAGCTTCAGGCGCCGTTTGGTTGCTGAGAAAATCGAAGGAATTAGAACAAAGCAAAACTAGACATCAAAGGTTTAGTTTCTCTTGCAAACAACAACGACAACAATATCCGTACCATAAGTATAGGACAACCTAAAGGATACCCTTTCCTTTCCTTGTAGTTTCTCGGCAGCCAAACAGAGCCATTTTTCCAGACACGCGCAAAAAAAAAGGAGACCATTTTTGTCTAACTCAACACTCACCTGACTCCGCATGCGCAATAGAAGAACCCCTTGGAATACCCTCAGTTTGAGCCATCGAAACGAGGTCGTACCGAAGATGAAACAGCGACAACAACCAAAAAACAAGCACAGAAGAAGATGCAATACAGCTAAAAAAAACCAGCAAAAAGAAGAATTTGAAGCAGACAAAGTCTACCCCATTAGGGGAGAATAGAGAACATCCCCCCAGTAAGAGTCGAAAAAAATAAAATAATAAAAAACAGAGAATAATAAGATTAACTAGACACGCCTATAAATGAATTCATTGTTGGTAGGAACTTGGGTAGAATGTTTCCGACTCTGAAGAAATTTCATTTTTTTTATTCTTTTTCCCTCATTTTTATATAATCTATTCTCTTCGCCTGCCCTGTTTCAGTTTCAAAACTGAACTAAGACTAATTTAAATATATCACAAATTACAAAAAGAAATTAATTATTAGATTAATAATCTTTAATATGGTCTGTTTTGGGTGAAGCAGTTGTCCTAAACTGATAGGTGCTGCCGCTGTGGCCGTCGTAGTTGTTTTGTCTCTGTCCTTCTTCCCATATCCGTCTCTCACTGGTCTATTTCTTCAGTACATTTCACAGCATGTCATTTTCTCTGCCGTTCTTCCAACCTCACCACCGCTCATCGCTACCCCACGTTTATCATTAACCCTTTTTTGGGTTAATTCTTATGTTTTCAACACTACAATCATCATATATATATCTGCCCAACACAATGCAAAAAAAAAAAGTGAGATGTGCAATCTTTTCGACAGGTGATATGAGTCAAACACTGCTCATCATTATAGCTTAATTGTCATACTTATATTGGTAATAAACAATAATTGGCATGGATGAAGGACAATGTTTGACTAATAATACAAGATGTTCATGTATTCAAGTTTAAAACTCCATTACATTAGGAAGAGATAATTATATCACTTCATTAGAAGCAAAAATAAATAAACAAATGGAGAAGAAACGTGAGCTAGACAGTGTCGGGCACTCTTTTGGTGGGGCCCAATGGGAAAAAAATCTGACTAAACCATGTGTAAATGGGGCGGGTCCACACGGTACACGTCAGAACTGCAACCTCATAAAGCTTAGCCACGTGGTGTGGTCGTGTTCGTACCAACGTGTCATAATACGACTTGTGTTGCCATCTCCGATGCAGGACATTCTGCTACGACTTCTTAAAACATTTCAAAAATCCCCACATTTCCTGATTTCCCCCCTTTCCTCTTCACTTATTCATATGTCAAATGATTCCGATGTCTCGCAATCACATCCAATCGGATAAAATATATATCTAATTAAAATAAATAAATACAAACTTATCTATAAACTTAATAATACCAACGAACTTAGTAATGAGCAATAAATATAAATAAATAAATGCACAAACTAACCTAACTTATTAGTTAAAAGAATTATTATTGTTTCCATTATTAAATGATTAAGAGTACTTAAAATATATATTATTTAAAATCATCTTTAGCTTAATCAAAAAAAAATATGTATAAATATATATTAATTTAAAGGCCTAATAATATTTAAATATTTTTTGATAAACTACATGTTTAGTACCTAAACTATTAATTTTATTTATTGCAAAAATATATCTAACGTTTATTTTTTGTTTCATTTTGATACCTCACCGTCAAAAATTTAACAAAATTGTTACAACATGGCACTTTTTATGGATAAATTATATCATTCATCACTCGACTATCTTTTCACTCCTATTTTGATCATTGAAGTTTAATTTTTTTAATTTAATTACTTAATTTTCAAAGTACTCCTAATTTAGTCACTCTAACATTCAAATTTAATTTTTTTTATTTCAATTATATACTAATTAAATAATTAAAAAAATATATTGTCTCAAAAATTATTAATAAAATAAATTAGAGTGATTAAAACATGAGCAATTTAAAAATTGATTAGTTAAATTGAATTTTTTTAACTTTAGTGACCAAAATAAGAGTGAGAAGATAATTAAATGATGAATGGTGTAATTTATCAATAAAAATGCAATGTATAGCAGTTCGTTCAATTTTAATGGTGAGGTATTAAAATGAAACAAAAAGTAAACATTAGCTATGGTTTTGAAACAAATGAAATTGTAGGTACTAAAACTAAACAAAACTAATAAATGTGTAGTTTACCTAGTATTTTTAATAAATGTACATGAACAAAATATTCATTCAAAATTATAATGCACCTAAACATAGAGAGAGAAAAATGAGGTCAACAGACACAAAAAGATTCATACTAAAAATGAAAATATTAAACTCAAATATACGAAGAAAAATTAAATATTTATTTGAGAATGATTATCAACGTCAAAAGAACCTAATAAACTTCACAAAAATTCATGGTCTCAATCGAACAATACGTTTTACGAGTGATAAATGAATGGTGAACGAACCAAATTATCTTGCAGGTTGGTTTCGCTACATAATTCCGATTAGTTTGACAAATAATCTTTTGCCAATATGAATATTTGACTATACGTGATAAACGAAAAACCAATCAGAAAATAAATATTGTCATAATCTTTGTGCGAGCACCAAAACAACCGTAAATGTATGCAAAAAATGTACTAAAAGGCATAAGGATCATGTCACAAAAGCAATATTAGAAGAAAACGTGCTAAAGGTACAAGAAAACTTGTGTTCACAAGGACAATTATTTTTATCTAAAATGAAAAAAAAAACATTTCAGAAAAAAAATAAAGAACATTGTATGAAAAAAATAAGAGAATTAATAATGTTGAAAGAAAATTTATGTTAAAAAGGTTTTATGTTAAAGAAATAAAAAATGTTAATCTTTATAAGAAATAAAAGAAAAAGAAAAAGCGACACAAAATATTGGAAGAAAAGTTATGTTAAAAAAGGTTTTAGGGTTAAATTTTATTCATCTAAGCTTAATCTTTATAAGTCTGTTCATATTTATATATTTTCCCATAAATTATGAGAGATGATTTACTCATAAGTTGAATTCTAAAGTACAATATTGTTGGATTGTTCATTTTAAGCAACCCACGCTATACATAGATACTTGTGGCATTATATTGAGAAGTGATTCCCTTACTCTCTTTTTTTAATTTATATTTAAAATATTTAATTATTTATTTTATTATATTGAGAAGTGATTCCCTTACATATTTAAGGTTTATGTGAACAGAACATACAACAAATGATTGAATTGTTAAAATATAAATCATATATAAAATAATTTGAATTTCATATTAGAGTAAATAAATAATTTGTAATATTTTGTAAATATAACTATAATATAGTTTGGAACTTAAAGATAATATAGGTTCATGCTTCTAAAAAGTTTAGATCTTAAAATAATATTTTTTTTCAATAAAATTATAGTTTGGATATTAAAGTTTAGATCATTCTAATTGTGATTTCGTTGGTAATTCATTTTATATTTTAACAATGATATTTTAAAAAGAATAACAAATATAGATTTAGGGGTTGCCCGATTGATACTAATCGGGAGGGGACCTTTTGCTTTGGTTTTACTTATTTGTGAACCCAAGCATGCTTGCTCATTTTTGGCATGTCAATCAAAGCAGCTTAATTCCTATGTCTTTCTTTGACTTTGAAGAGTGTAATAATTGTAGAGGAAAGTTCATGGGTGGGAATCAGAGCTAATAGGCTATCTATTATAGGGCCTAGGGATGTGAAATTGAAGGGTTTAATTTGAAACAAGTTAAAAAGATTGGGCCTCTTTTTATCAAAAGGATCAAGATATATGGAGGACCCAAACTTTCAAGGCTTAAATCACAATGCATACAAGCCGACTCAAAACCCAATTTAATATTATCCAACTGATTTCTAGTTCTGGTTTTAGTATATCTACTATGTTAAATTTCATGATTTAATTCCTCTATTTTAAATTAACTTAATTTAGTCCAAATTATAAAATATTCACGTTTTATTGAAGGTACGTGATAGGATTCGGCGGCGAATGTGAATATTTTGTCCACCTTCACTAAAACGGGAATATTTTATTCCAAATTTTCAAGGCACGACTCAAACTTCTCGAGCTCTCGGTTTGGCCTTCAATTGATTTCTAAACGGTCTATTTCTGGCTTTATGCTTAAACTTTTTATTTAATTCCTTTAATTTATCATAGTTTGATCTTATTAGTTGAACATGGTTAGTTGAATTTTCGCAATAATCACTATCCGAATAAATAACAACATAAAACTGGCACCATCACTTTATTAACAACAAGTAATGGTGTTATTAAATTGGGTTTACTAATCCAATAGCATTATAGAAGTAGAGAGCGATTGAATTAGTGGATTATGCCACGTTAAAGTCGATGGCTAAAATCACAAATTTTAACATACTTGAAGGACTAAAACCATATTTAAACCTTTGAAATGCAAGCTTTCCATTTAGTGTTATACCTAAGTTGGTGGATGACAGCCGATGCTGTCATGAATGGAGGCGAGTCTAGGGTTGGCTGCCTTACCCACTCGGCTATTTCAATGATGAATTTAAGAGGATAAAAATGAGTATCTAAATGGAAGAGTGACAAAACTATTTGACCCTACTTTTATTCCCTTGGACAAAGGGAGGGCAAGAACCTCTCCAATGGCAGACGATAGGTCGGTTTCTTCAGAGAGATGCACCCATTAATCTTTTGTTTCTTGCTTGGACTTATCTTCAATAATTCATAACAAGTACAGATAGTAATAATTTTGTTACTGCGATGGAATTAAAAACACGTGTGATTTCATCAGCATTAGAAGCCAACAAAGACATTAAATTAATTTTGACATGCTACCTCCACTTGTTTTATGTCGTCTTCACATTGCTTCACTTTCATATGTTCTTCTCAGCCCCCAGCCCCTCGAATTATTTGCATGCACTTGTGCCTTATCTTCTTCGAAACTTTACTCATCACCTCCTTTTCGTTAGACCCTTGCTCAATATTGCTTCACGATTATAAGAATCCGTAGGGACATTTGCAATTAGGGTTTTGTTTAGTATGATCGTTGGCTTCCATTCGACTTTAAATTTAATCGAGATTCATTCACTCGTCAAACACAAAAATTCTTGATCTAAGAAAATAAATAAATACTTCAAATGTGTCTAGTTCTTAAGATAAACGCATGGCTACATGTTTCAAGTTGATAAGTTGTTGGATCAGTTTGTTTAAAAAGAAAATATGGGATGTAATAGTGTTGTCGTTATCTGCTAGATGATGTTCGATTACATAATGGTTGG